CTTTTCTCTGCCTGTTAGCTCTCTCATCCCGCCTTCGATCTGCTTCCTCATGTGATGGGAAGAGCCGCTATTCTCAAAGGCCGGAGGGCACCAGGCAAACTAATGTTCATGACAGGCATTGTTCAACAGCACTTATTTTTAAAAGCCCCACAAGCTAGTCACCATTGAGAGACTACCGGGCTCTCCAAGCACCATTGGGCATATTCACCATGTAATAGACAGAAGCTATCAGTTAAGCAAATACGTAAATTGGGTAATTTGGTATATTACTGTGGTTGATTTTCTTACGTTACATCAGCTTTGCATTCCTAGGATAAATCCCAGTTGGTCATGGTGTCTGGTCTTTTCACCTGTTGCTCGATTTGTTTTGCTTGCATTTTGTTGAGGATTTTTGCATCTATATTCATAAGGGATATTGATTTGTAATTTTCTTGTGTTGTGTTTGTCTTGTTTTGGTAACAAGGTAACACTGGGCATTGCTGGGCACCAGAGTAATACTGGCCTCACAGAATGAGTCTGGAAGTGATCCCTCCTCTTCCATTTTTGGGGAAGAGTTTGTGAAAGATTAGTGTTAATTCTTTTAAATGTTTGGTAGCGTTCATCCGTGAAGCCCTCTGGTCCCAGGGTTTTCTCTGTGGGAGGTTTTTATTATTTTTACTACTAATTCGATCTCTTTTCTTGCTATACGTCTAGTTGGATATTGCGGTTTTCCGGTCATTTTTGAAAATAGGTAGATTCAAGGACAATTTGTGACATAAAGTGGAGAGTTCTCTCCGGTTGAAGTGACGGCTGTGACCCTGTTGAGTTTCCGGTGGAGTTTCCAGCGGTAATGCGTGGAATGCGGCCCCTCCCTGCTCCTCTGGGGCTGCTCCTTCCTTGCTCCTGGGCTTTCAGCAGAGACCCATCCCTTCCGCTGGGCTGAGGTCTGGCCTGCGGAGAGCCAGGCGACGTCGAGGGAAAACCCACAGGTTGCGCCATCAGGATGACTGGACCAGGTTCAAAGACCGTTCGGGCTTCTACTCACCACATGACCCGGTCAAGTCCTTCAGCCTCTCAGCCAGTGTTCTCACCTGTGAGGGAGGGAGGGTGATAATGGCTCCGCCTCATGGGGCTGGGGGACAGGTTTGGATGTCCAGGGCGGCCTCGCTAAGCCTCCTCTCTGCCCCTCTCTGCCCACTCCCCTCCTGCCCTCCCATCTTCAGTGAAGGAGAAGGAGGAGAAGGCACTTCAGTGTCTGATGAGGTAAGTGAGGAGGCTGCACGTCCCGCAGACAAAGCCTCAGTGTTCAAGGGCAGCCCTGTGTGCCTCCTCCTTGCTGGAGGCGGGCGGAGGAGGCCGAGGGTGGGGCCCCGGCATTTTCCCAGCCCTGCTCAACCCCACCATCTTCCAGCCTCCGACCTGCTCCCTGGAATGGAGGAAATGACCCAGTCGAGAAGGGAGGGCCTCTCAGGTGAGTGTGGGCCCACCTGGACCTGTGCTTTTGAGAATGTTTGCATTTCAAAGCTTCTTGCAAAAGCTTCTGATGAACCCTGCGCACATCCCGAACTCTGGTCTCCCCATGCGCCCCGGTGCCCCCCTCTGACGTGATGCCAACTTAAGGCTGGAAAAGACGGGCTGTTTATTCAGCGACTCCCTTCACCACCTGAGGGCTGTCCTTGGAGGATTACACCCCTGGCCCTTCTGAGATGCTCCTGTAAGGAGCTGAACAGGTCCCAGGAGCCTGAGAGACAGAGCAGGAGGCAGAGCTGCCCGAGAAAGGAGGCAGCACTTTCTAGAATGGCCCCCTAGGCACAGGGGGACTCGGTGGCCAGGGAGTATTGGGCGAGGCAGCACCCGTGCACAGGGTGGGCAGGTGGGCGGGTGCGGGGGGGCTGGAGGGGGAAGATGCTTGCTCCTAGATGGCCTGATGTGGAAACATCCAGCAGGCAGGCAGGCAGGGGGCAGGCCTGGCATCCAGCCAGCCTCACAGTGGGCAGGATTGGGTGTGAGAGCGGACAGGGGTCAAAGGAGGGAGACAGCGGACAGCTCAGCACCGAGCCTGGGATGTGTCCCATGTCTCCGGGGCAGGGAAGGGGACAGACTCAGTCCTCAGGGCAGAGACCTGGCTGCGCAAGAGAAAGGACCTGCAGAGAGATGAAACTAGGAAGCGTGCTGCAGCTCTCAGGCCGAGGAGGCCGGTGGACTTGGTAAAGCCGGGGGGATGGGAGTAGGAAGAGGCGGCAGGGCTGTTCGGCCACGGGCACATTGCTCCATCATGGGCACATTGCTTCATTTGTTAGCTCATCGGGGAGACAGCAGTGATCTTACTTCCCATCTCTCAGGATGCCTGTGAGCATCCGCTGCTTCAGTGTTTGGCACCCAGTCCAAGAAGTAGTAGGTGCTCAATGAAATCTCGTTCTCATCTACGACTGGGAAGTGAGCTTGCTGATGTGAAGGAGAGAGAGACCCGGGCTCTGCTGAGGCCTCACCTGAGACCGCTCGCTCACACTCAGGATGTGCCAGAAATCTAAAGGTCTGGCTGACCCTTTCTAAACTTTCTGGTGGCGGAACCCTCACTTTCATTACATGATAGCATTTAAAATAATATTTTTATTGATTTCAGAGAGGAAGGGAAAGGGAGAGAGAACTAGAAACATCAATGATGAGAGAGAATCATTGATCCGTTGCCTCCTGCATGCCCCGTACTGGGGATCAAGCCCGCAACCCAGACATGTGTCCTGACCAGGAATCGAACCATGACCTCCCAGCCTAGGAAAACCAGCAACCTGGGTTTTGTCACTAGTGAGAAGGTGTCCCCTTCTCATTTCTGGAACTGCCCTTCCTCGGGCAGACCTGTCTCTGAGACTCTTGGGCATCAGCAAGTTTGCCTGCATGTTCCACCGGCCAGTACGCGCGCCCTGTGGTCTGAGAGA